AGCTCAAGAAACTGTGTTATATGGTGAGGCCACCCAAGTAGTATTCTGGGGCCAGATAAAAGGAAGGAGCACATTTCACTCTTGCGTATTATGGTGTGGTAGTATTATAAGTGTTGGCAGACGTGCAGAGCGGTGCCCGAAGTTGGTATTCAGGCAAATCAATAATGGTGTCCTTGGCACATCTTGTTATATAAGGCTACAGTTCCTGTCCCTCGCCCCAATTCCTGCCAACGTAGTAATTCAAAAACATGGGAATGTGAGTAGATAAAATAGGTACAACTTCTATGGGAAGCGGACGACACTCTGTGATGTCATGCTGGCCACATGACCACAGAAATGTCTTCGGACAGCGCTGACTCAATGGCCTTGAAACAGAGATGAGCACCGTCCCCGATAATCAGCAACGACCAGTGCAGTAAAATCTACAGGGACCCCTCTACCTTTTATCCCCTCCCCTAAATCTATTCTACAGCAGCGGTATCAAACTCAAGGCCCGCGGGCTGGATTCGGCTCCCGGGGTGCTTTGTGGGGCCTGCCTGGAAATAGCAAAGGACCAGCCCGTGGTGCCTCTGGTAGACAAACGGGGCACAGGGGGCCACATGTGGCTCTACACCCCATTTTCAGCCTGGACGGCCTCCTGCAGCACTTTGCTGGCCAAAACGGGGTGCGGAGGGGGGCCACGTGCAGCCCCCTGTGCTCTGTTTTCGGCCTACATTGCCTCTTGCACCACTTTGCGGCCAAAACAGCGGCGGGGGGGGGGGCACGCACAGCCCTCCCGTGCCCTGTTTTTGGCCTGAATCAGTGGTGGGTTGCTACCGTTTCACCCTGGATCGGGCGAACTGGTAGCGGCGGTAGTGGGAAGCTCCGCCCACCCAGCTGGATGTCACTGCACATGCGCAGAAGCTTCTGCGCATGTGAGTGCGTGCCGATGAGCGAATCGGTGTGACCGAAAATTGAAACCCACTACTGGCCTGGATGGCCTCCTGCAGCACTCTGCCGGCCAAAACGGGGCGTGTTTTGGCCGGCTGGCAAAATGCTTCAAGAGGCTGTCCAGGCCAAAAATGAGGTGCGGGGGGGGCCCGTGCACTCCCGCCCCGATGCCCTGTTTTGGCTAGCAGAGTGCTACAGGGGGCGTCCATCCAATCTTGGAACCCCCCCTTCCCTGGCCGGCCCGCGATGGAGAACTACAATGCTGATCTGGCCCTCGAAGAAATCCAATTTGACGCCCCTGTTCCACAGTATTGACTTTTGTTCCAAGGATGGAAACATCCAAGGGCCAAACTGCATCATTCACGCTGCTAAAAAAAGGGAGCAGCCGAAATTGGCAGCTGTTCTTTGGAAAAGCCGGCCATCTGAGGCCCCAATTTGGCACACGAGCCTCTCTTCCGCAAAAGGCTCTGAACTGGCTTCCTGAAGCAAAGTCCTGTTTACAACAAGCAACATTTTGGACCTGGTGGATGTGATTTTACTCCAATCTTGCTCGCGGGTTTAAACGTATAAAACCTGCATTGTACAGAACATCCCAAAGACGCTGGCAGTTTAGAAAATGGCTGGTGAAGACCAGTGTCCTCAATTAACCCCTCTCGACCTTTTCAGCCTGTGGAAGCCGATCTCGGCTGGGAAAACTTTACACCTCTCTGGAGAGATTCCCTCTCTTGTTCTTTCAACAGCGGCAAAAGCTTTCTTGAATATAGCAATAGCACTTAGACTTATATACCGCTTTACAGCCCTCTCTAAGCGGTTTACAGAGTCAGCCTCTTGCCCCCAACAATCTGGGTCCTCATTTTACCGACCTCAGAAGGATGGAAGGGTGAATTAACCTTGAGCCTGGTGAGAGTCGAACTGCCAAATTGCAGGCAACTGGCAGTCAGCAGAAGTAACCTGCAGTACTGCATTCTAACCACTGCACCACCGTGGCTTTTAATCAGAGAGTTGTCATCACTGGGTCCAGGGGAGGGGGAAGACAGAGCAAGTAAGAATTCATATAGTCCTCACTTAAGGACCACAATTGGGACTGGCAACTCAATCACTAAGTGACACAGTTGCTAAGCAAGAGATCATATCCACCTGACAGAATCACGTCCTCACTTCCTTTTGTGGTTGTTTATTGAGACAAAGTGTGACCATGATGTAGGAGATGGCTAGGCTGAGCCTGAGGGAGGGGTCAAATGCGTCATCAGTCTGGGGTCCCTTTGCACCCAGCAAGTCTCAAGCCCATTTGAATTCCACCAGATTCTTTATCTGCCACCAATTTGCTTTGACTGTTAGTAGTTCAGATTCTTTGTAGAGTGCTTAAGCTTACAATAAACCTATGCCAGGGGTGGGCCACAGTTGCCCACCCCTGACCTATGCAGATAGTCCTCGAATAACAACAGTTCATTTAGTGACCAGTCAAAGGTACAACAGCATTGAAAAATGTGACTTATGACTGTTTTTCAGTTATGACCTTTGCAGCATCCCCATGATCATGTGATCAGAATTCAGGTGTGTGGCAACTGCTTCATATTTATGACAGTTGCAGTGTCCCGGGCAGTGGTGAGATGCTGCCGGTTTAACATGTGCGCAGTTTTACAAATGCTAACCTGTGTTACTATTTGGGAGTAACGCAGCTGAGGTGTGGCAAGCCAGTCTGCCGCACCAATCAGCTGAAAAGATATAGATCAGCATTGTGATCACTGCGATCACACATTGCTCCTAGAAGCACGAAGCCGAAAACACCAGCCTGAAGATGACGAATGAGACTTCGTCGAAACGTCGCCAAGACACTTCCAACTTTACGCGGGAGAAAACCCGAATAACCAAAGACCTACATATACATATATATATATATACGTTGCAGGAAACAGTTAAGAGGTTTTTACTAATTCTAGTATTTCAGTATATCTATTTCCTTACAGCAGGAGAAAAATAAACATTCACTTGATACACAAGACTCTTGGGTATACCTGAAAGTTTAAATAAGTCAACCCTGTCCCCGAAATCGCTGCTAGATTGTAATAGGGATTTTGCAGTTGTTTAGCGTGGGAAGTTTTCTTTATGACAAGTTCAATAAAGCCCTGCTAAAATATATGCCCCCCCCTCCATTGCAACTCTCGGGTGGTGCTTTGAAACCCATCTTGCGAGTATTACAAAGCCCATCTTGCGTGGCCCTCCGTTTTTAACAGTTCCTCCAATCGATTTTTGAACCCTGGTGAATCTATGGGACAACCCAAGTCCGGCACAATTTAAAGACACAACAACCCCGTTGCACGCTCACTTGGGAATTAAAAAAAAACAACTCACTTTTGTACCGACGTGCATCGTACAGAGATGCTCGCCTAGAAAATCAATCGCTGGGAACAGCTAAGCCCTTTGGATCTGTCGCTCCCCGCGGGCCAGCCAATAGGAGCGCGAGACGGCCGTCCCGCCTCCCAACGGAACGTTCCCGTGTTTGTAGTCTTCACCCACGCAAGCGTCAGGGGGAGGCTGCTCGCCCCGCCCCCTTCGTTCTTGCGTTGAGTTGCTTTGTAGCGCAAGCCCGGTAACCATGGAGACGGAAAGGGGGCGGGCTCTTTGGGTGCAGGGCTGGCCCGAGCTTCTTCAACCTGGCGCCCTCCAAGTTCATTTGAGTTTTATAATAAACAGGTTGCGTTAATTCCGAAATAAGATTGCGCCCTCATCCTTCCCCGCCTCCCGAGGCCAGCCAAGTTGCGGGGGGACGGGGGACGGACGGAGGAACGGGGTTCAAAGCAGCACTTTTTTTTCACGTGCAAACTCAACAGCCGCATTCCCACGAAGTTTGTTTGAACTGGGGTTTCCCTGATGTCTGGCTTGCCAGGGGTGGGGGGCTTCGGTTAACCCTTACGATCCCGGAGAATCACCCGAGCATAGGTTAAAAAAAAATGCATCCGTCGGCTTCGGCATCACGTGTGCACGCGGTCAATAATCCGTGTCTGAAGATGAGACGGGAGCGCCGATCCTGCATGTAAATGAATGAGCAAGGAGGGGGAAAAAAAGAGGCTTCAAAATCTTGGCAAGGCTTCCCAAAACTTGTAAAAAAAAATCAGTTTGGGGGAAGGCTTCGCATTTTAGCCTTTTTCATTTATGGCAGTGTTTCTCAACGTTGAGAACCTGAAGATGTGTGGACTTCAACTTCCAGAATTCCCCAGTCAGCCATGCTGGCTGGGGAATTCTGGGAGTTGAAGTCCACATATCTTCAAGCTCTCAAGGTTGAGAAACACTGATTTATGGGGTCCTGGAAGACACCATATCCACTGGGGTGCAAGTCTTGGGGAAGGGGTGGTAACCCTAAGGAACCCCAAATGTCAAGGAAACTTCAATCACAGCCATTCTCCAGGTGGGGAATCTCCGTTTCTTAGCCCAGGCTGCCCCACAAGTCTCCTGTAGGGGAAAAAGGAGTTGGGGGGTGGGTGGGCAGCCTGCAGCCTTTTCATCCCTGAAGATAAGCAGACTCTTAAAATGCAGCAACCGCATGTAAAAAATACTGAAAGGGATGACGTTAGAAGAAGATTTTTTGGGGGGGGAGAATCTCCATAGACAGAACAAGCAGATCTTTTGGAGAATCTCCATAGACAGTTAGAAGCAGCAGATTTTTGGGGGGAGAGAATCTCCATAGACAGTTAGAATAAGCAGATTTTTTTGGGAGAATCTCCATAGACAGTTAGAATAAGCAGAGTTTTTAGAGAATCTCCATAGAGAGTTAGAAGAAGCAGATTTTTTTGGGAGGAGAATCTCCATAGACAGTTAGAATAAGCAGAATTTTGGAGAATCTCCACAGACAGTTAGAAGAAGCAGAGTTTTTGGAGAATCTCCATAGACAGTTAGAAGCAGCAGATTTTTTGGGGGAGAGAAACTCCATAGACAGTTAGAATAAGCAGATTTTTTTTGGGGAGAATCTCCATAGACAGTTAGAATAAGCAGAATTTTGGAGAATCTCACAGACAGTTAGAAGAAGCAGAGTTTTTGGAGAATCTCCATAGATAGTTAGAAGAAGCAGATTTATTTTTTTTGGAGAATCTCCATAGACCGTTAGAATAAGCAGAGTTTTTGGAGAATCTCCATAGATAGTTAGAAGAAGCAGATTTTTTTTTGGAGAATCTCCATAGACCGTTAGAATAAGAAGATTTTTTTTTTTTTTTGCAAACATCCTTGGAAGCCAGCGCGGCGTTTGCAACGTTCTCTCACCTGGTGCGTGGATCCCTTAAAACGCGTGCATCACCTTTGCAAAAAGGGAAGGATCGCCCTGAATCGAATAAATCGGAACATCTGCAAAAACCCTTCCCCACCAGGACGAAGAAACGGAGCCCCTCCAGATTTAAACCTCCCGCCCCACACACACCTGACTCCGTTTAGGATGCCGTGCAAGCTTGCGCCTTTGGGGAACTCGGAAAGCAACGCCTCCTTTCCGGCTCGGCAGCGCCTCCGCCTTCTCTCGAGAGTCAAGTTTCTGTTTCTTTTCCCTTCCATCCGAGCGAAAGGCCCGCCATCTCCAGCTTCGTTTCGCGGGAGGGAAGAAATCCTCTTCGATCCCAGAAAGAGAAGCCTGGTGCTTTCGGATTCCTGGAGACCGAGGAGCCCCCGAAGGATCGCGCGCATCTCCTTAATTCACGGCTCCTTGCAAAACCGAAGCCGCTTGGAAGGATCCTTTGCGAGGGGATTGGTGGGCTTGGATCCTCCCTGCTGGTGAAGTAAGTCGGCGACGAGTAGGTAGCCCTCAGTTTACAACCGTTTCGTTTAATGACCGTTCAGAGTGACAAAGGCGCCGAAGAAGGGGGACTCAACGAGGGGGTCCTTGGTGCTCCCTGAGCTTGCTTGTTTTCTTGCAGACTTTTCATTATACGCTGCTCAAAAAAAATAAAGGGCACACAAGCAGAAGACATCCGAGATCTGAATGAATGAAATAGCCTCATTAAATACTTTGTTCGTTACATACAGTAGTTTTGTGTTCCCTTTAGTTGTTTGAGCAGTGTATAAACTACTGTATGTAAAGAACAAAGTATTTAATAAGGCTATTTCATTCATTCAGATCTCGGATGTCTTCTGCTGGTGTTCCCTTTATTTTTTTGAGCAGTATACATAGAATAGATATTCTTTATTGGCCGAGTGTGATTAGTACACACAAGGAATTTGTTTCCAGTTTGTAAGCTCCCAATGTGCAGACAACAATAGTGATAAGCAACAAAGTTACAGTCCTAAGGAGATGGGTAAGAGGGAAGAGGAGAATAATGATGGGAATACTGCATTTTTTAAGATAGTTTGACAGTGTTGCGGGAATTAGTTGTTTAGCAGAGTGATGGCATGGGGGGGGAAAACTGTCCTTGTGTCTATAGTAGTGGCCAAAATTGTGGAAACCTTTTGGGAAAAGTGTATTTTCTAATCTAAACTAGCTAATAACACCACTTTTTTTGGGGGGGGGGAGTAGTACCATAAAATTACATATCAATGGAAAGATAATTTAATCAAGAATGGAATGCAATAACTTTTATGAAGGGTTTGCTATTAGAATAGCAGTTATATAAAGAAGAAAAGTGAAACACGTAGAAAAAAATGAGTCATGCAAAAATTATCACCATCGAAAAAACGAGATATACAAAAATGATCCCCATGTCAGTTAATACTTCATTGGGTAACTTTTAGCACGAATTACGGCCTTACGACGTCTTCCCATGGAGTGAACCAAGTCTTTGAGTTCTGCAGCTGTTCTAATGTGAAACCAAGATGGAATGATGGCTTCTATTAACTGGGTTTTATTGCTGGGTCGCTTCTGACTAACCAGTTTCTTTAGCCGGCTCCATAGATTTTCAATTGGGTTACGCCAGGTCCGCCCCCCCCTCCCACCTTCTACACCATTTCTGATAAGTGGCTATCCAGTCTCTTTTTGAAAGCCTCTAGCGATGAAGCATCTAAAACTTCTGAAGGCAACTTCTGTTCCATGGGTTGATTGTTCTCACTGTCAGAAAATTTCTCCTTATTTCTAGGTTGAATCTCTCCTTGTTCAGTTTCCATCCATTATTCCTTGTCTGGCCTTTGGGTGCTTTGGAGAATAGCTTGACCCCTTCCTCTCTGTGGCAGTCCCTCAAATATTAGAAGACTGCTATCATGTCTCCTCTGGTCCTTCTCTTCACTAAACTAGCCATGCCTAGTTCCTGTAACCGTTCATCGTATGTTTTAGCCTCTAGTCCCCTAATCATCCTGGTTGCTCTTCTCTGCACTCTTTCTAGAGTCTCAACATCTTTTTTATAGTGTGGTGACCACACTATATAATGTCACGTGCTTTCTGGGGTAGGACAGGGTGAGCTGTAGTGGGTGAGTGCAGAGATGCTTGCCGAGGATTTGCTGCTGCTGATTTTCAGTTCATGTTTTTAAATTGTCGTGTGCACAATGTTCTTTTGCCGGGATTGGCGTTTTTGTGCGCCGGTGATCCGTGGTTTGGGTTGTTCTTTCAGGGTAGAAAAAAAAGGAACACAACCGCTTCCTTCTCTTGTTGCTTTTTTAGGGAGACCATGGGTGTGCCCTGTGAACGGGACTGTGGATTCTAAACTGAGTAGCCGTAGGAGGAAAATGTCTGTGGGTTTAAGAGCTGGTGGAATTTGAACAAAAGCAGCGGTCACTTAGAGAAACAGTGGGCAGAGGTTTGCAGGCCTGGAAGAAAAACAAAAGTTTGATGAACAGAAATGCACTTTGACGCAGCCTTTGTGTGGACATTAGTTAGGATCAAATATATGTTACATTACATTAGGATCAAATATGTGTTAGGAAGAGATTTGGTTTTTTAAGTGTTAAATGAGGCGGCTGCTGGGGTGATATCCAGCAGGTTCTAACAGGTTTTGGAGAACCAGTAGCAGAAATTTTGAGCAGTTCGGAGAACTGGCAGATACTACCTCCAGCTGGCCCTAGAGTGGGGTGGGAATGGAGATTTTGCAATATCCTTCCCCTGGAGTGGGGAGAGAATGGGGATTTGGCAGTATCCTTCCCCTGCCACGCCCACCAAGCCACACCACACTACACCACGCCCACCAAACCACACCATGCCCACCAAGCCATGCTCACAGAACCGGTAGTAAAATAATTTGGATTTCACCACTGGGCGACTGTCAGCGTTCCAGGTAATGCACCCACAGAAAGCCAAACTCCGAGGTAGGCAGATTCCTCAAAGAGCAATTTATTGGATGCATCGTATTGGCACAACTGGTGAAAGCCGACTCTGAAAGTTCCCACAGTTTTCACCCAGTTAAAAATGAAAGCTCCCCCTTTCCCACAAGTCCTCTGTCACATTGTTCCAATAGAGGTGCTGGCTGGTTGCAGAGTGGATACAAATCGATGTTTTTTTTAAATAAAAAAAAATGGATTTTTAAAATTCAAATCGGATTTTTTAAAATTTAAATCGGATTTTTTTTATTTTTATCAAATTTTTATCAAATGCCAATCAGCTTTTTTCTTATTTTCCTCCCCAAAAACTCAGGTGTGTTTTATACTCCGAAAAATACAGTAGGTCCATCAGATCTTTGTACAGTTGGTGATAAGTCAAGGACTAGCTTCATACAAAAAGGACTCAATAAACAGCCTGGTGGCGCGGCAGACTAAAGCACTGTTATTAACATCAGCTGCCTGCAATTACTGCAAGTTCGAATCTCACCAGGCTCAAGGTTGACTCAGCCTTCCATCCTTTCTAAGGTAGGTAAAATGAGGACCCAGATTGTGGGGGCAAAAAGCTGACTTTGTATAAAATATACAAACGTATGAAGGCTATTGCTTAACGCATTGTAAGCCGTCCTGAGTCTCCGGAGAAGGGCGGCATATAAATCAAATTAAAAAAAAAACAACTATTGAGATGGGATCATCACCTTGGCAATTGATCCCAGTCTTATCTAGATAGGAAACCAATCTGATCTAGATAGGAAATTCTCTTCTGAACAACTTTAATTGATTGCTCACCTATTATTATCTTGAAGGAAGTAAGAATGTAATTTAATCAAGAATGTAATGCAATAACTTTATGAAGGATTTGCTATTAGAGTAGTACTTACAATATAAAGAACAAAAGTGAAACATGTAGAGAAAACGAGAGATACAAAAATTATCACCGTGTCAGTTAATACTTCGTTGGGTAACTTTTTGCATGAATTACGGCCTTACAATGTCTTCCCATGGAGTGAACCAAGTCTTTGAGTTCTGCAGCTGTTATCATGTGAAACCAAGATTGAATGATGGCTTCTATTAACTGGGTTTTATTGCTGGGTTGCTTCTGACTAACCAGTTTCTTTAGTCGGCTCCGTAGATTTTCAATTGGGTGAAGGTCTGGGCTATTCCCAGGCCATTCCCGCAGTGGAATAGGATTATGTTGAAACTACCCCCCAAAAAGTGGTGTTATTAGCCATCAAACCTCAAAAATATACTTTTCACAAAAAGTTTCCACGATTTTGGCCACTACTGTAGTGGTTGAGGCACCACGCTAGAAAGCCAGGAGACTGTGAATTCAAGTCCAGTTTAGCCATGAAAGCCAGCTGAGTAATCTTGGGCCAGTCCCTTTCTGATAGGGTTGTTGTTGTGGGAAAAATAAGAGGAGAAGGTGTGTTGAATATGTTTGCCACCTTGAGTTATTAGAGATGGTGCTTGAAATCAGCAGTGCATGACTAAAGCTCCCCTGCAGAGGGAGCTGTTCCCATTCTACATTTTGCAAATATATTGCATATATAGAAAGAAGAGCATTGCAGTAACCTAGTGGTGAAGATGCTCTCATCCCACTCAGAAGGTTAAGAGTTCAATCCTAGGTTGCAACAGATATTTCACTCCTAAGGCGCAAAGAAAAAAATACCTGCTGTGAACTCCATGTAGGTGTCAGGAAGGGCATCTGGCCAGTAAACGTTCAGCTCCGTCCACTGACCCCGACTCTATTCCAAATAGGAACTACAAGTGAGGTTTTTTTTTTTTAATAGCTTGTACAGAAGGCAACTTAATTTCTTTATTTTCTTCTACAGCTGAGCTTCTACCATGGACATCCAGGAGGTGGACCTCAGAGAGATGGCTTCTGTCATCCAGTCGAAAGTCGTTGTGGAGGTGTCCTCTCAAGTCCAGTCACTCCTGGATTCTCTAGAAACCACCACGCTGGACATCGCAGTGACGGGCGAAGGTGGGGCTGGCAAGTCCACCTTCATCAATGCCATGTTGGGGATCAGTGATGACGACTTCCGTGCGGCCAAAACCGGCGTGGTTGAGACTACCGCTTCACCCACCCCTTATCATCACCCTCATCTGCCCCGTGTTCGGCTTTGGGATCTGCCAGGCATTGGTACCCCTGCCCTCCAAGCCCGAAAATATCTGCAGTTGGTGAGATTTGAGAGATACGATTTCTTCATTATCGTCACATCCGAGCGTTTTCGAGAGAATCACGCTGAGCTGGCTAAGGCTGTGGCTGCCATGGGCAAACGCTTCTACTTTGTCCGTTCCAAAGTAGACCAGGATCTGCAGGCTTCCCAACAACGAAGGCCAACCTTGTTCCAGGAAGATCAAGTGCTGCAGCAAATAGAGGCAGACTGTTCCCGCCAGCTGAAGAAGGAAGGTCTGGAGAACCCCAAAGTCTTTTTGATCTCCAGCTTCCATTTGCATAGATTTGATTTCTACCGCTTGCAGGATACTCTGGCTGAGGAGCTGGAAGGTCACAAGAGACACACCCTACTGCTTTCCTTCCCATCCGTCACCGCCGCAGCTGTGCAGAAGAAGAAGAGTTCGCTGCGCCAGCACATCTGGAAGACGGCGCTGCTGGCGTGTATCATTTCAGCCCTGCCTGGCCATCCGTTCCACCTCAACGTCCCCGTGCTCGTCAATACTCTCAAGAACTACCAGCAGCATTTCGGCTTGGATGATGCGTCTTTGGAGACCTTGGCCGCCGCGGTCTCAAAGCCCTCTTGCGAATTGAAAAACCAAGTGCGTTCGACCTTCGTGAGAGACCTTTCGGGGGATGCTGTCCAGGGGTTTTTGAGGCAAGCTGCAATCTGCGGGCAGGTGATGGTCACGGTGCTGAAGAGCAAAGTGCCCGTTTTCAACAACTTGGTGGCAGGGGCTGTCTCGTTTGTGGCGGCCTATTATTTGCTGCACACAGCTCTGGATAGCTTTGCAGAAGATGCTCAGCGGGTCTTGGAAAGAGCGTACGGCTTGGAGACAGAGGTCCAGGGCTCCTTGAGCTATCCTTCACCGGGCTTCATCTGTGAATGAAGATGATCAAGAGCGCCACCCAAAATTGCTTGGAGATGGACAAGTGTGCGTTTTCTCCCTCTCTTGTATCAGTGTCGCTTCTTGTTTTCTCCAATTGGTCAAACCGGCCAGGAGAACCTAGCCAGGGTTGCTGTCTGCTGCCTTATCCTATGAAGAGAACCCCTCTGCCCCCCCCCCCAAAGGTTATTGAGATAAGTCTTCAAAGGGTGACATTACATAATGGGAAGATTCTTTGCATTTCTTTAGATGCAGCAGATTGGGTGATTGGGAGGCGTTTTACTGTTTTTCATATAATAAATTGGTTCTTGGAATCTTTTATATAGCAGCAATCTTTTTGAAATGATAAATGCTCTGAAATCTCTTGATGTCTCATTCATTTATTTTATACATACCGTACCCAATACAGCCATTTATGGCCTCCTGAAACCCTGCCCTACATGTCCCATTTTCACCAAAAACAAGCCCATTTTTCGCAAAAACTGGGCCTGCAGAATGTTTGGGAGGCCTGCAGAGTGCTCCTGGGGCCTGGGGAGGGCAAAAACGTGACATGTGGGGGGTTTGGGAGGCCAAAAATGGGGCCATTTTTCATAAAAACGGGGCCTGCAGAGGGTTTGGGAGGCCTGCGGAGTGCTCATGGGGCCTGGGGAGGGCAAAAATCTGACGGGGGTTTGGGAGGCCAAAAATGGGCCCATTTTTTGCAAAAAAGGGGATTGCAGAGGGTTTGGGAGGCCTGCAGAGTGCTCCTGGAGGCCGAGGAGGGCCTCCAGGAGCTCTCTGTTTTTCTTGTTTACCTATTCAAAATCTTGGTGCATCTTATACTCCAGTGTGTCTTATAGTCTGAAAAATACAGGAATATTTATAGACCATTCTTATGATCCTTACCTCCTTGCCTGCTTTCAGTATAACGGTAATAAAAGCCACCCATGCCGGAGTTATTAATCAAGCAAGACACCCTTTGAAGAAGACATTCATACAATTGCTATTTGCACGAATGGCTTAAAGGTAAATCACCGTGGAGCAATTGTGGAAGTTAACAAAGTGTGCATATTTGCAACAACAAGTACACTGTTTTGATGTACTCTTGCGTTTAAACACAAATGTTCAAATTTATGAGTTCAGGAGTTTTTCTAATGTGAGTTGGTGAGGGTAGAATTTCTCAGTGAGGACTGAACGTATCTACAAAGCATGAAAGGTTACAACAAAGAGGAAAAATGATTGTAATCTTGAACATGTTTCAGTACAGGTAGTCCTGGATTACAACATTTATGTTGCTAAGCAAGACAATTGTTCAGTGACTTTGTCCCGCTTTATGATTTTTGCACCATTCTTAAGCAAACCACTGCAGTTGTTAAGTGAATCTTCTGGTCATTGAACGAATCTGGCTTCCCCCACTGACTTGTTTGTTGGAAGCCAGTTGGAAAGGTTACAAATAATGATCACATAACCCAGGAACAGGGCAACTGTTCCTAAATATATACCAGTTGCTAAGCACCCAAATTTTGATTATTGTAGTTTTTGGAGTATAAGACACACCTTAGTTTTTGGGGAGGAAAATAAGAAAAAAGCTAATTGGCAGGTGGATCCGCCTCCCAGAATACCCCCAATCAGCTGTTCCCAGAGGTGAATTTTAGCAACAGGTTCCTTGGTTGTGAGCTTTGTGCCTTGCTTTTTTTTGCTTTTTTTTCTGCCTCTGAAAGCCTCCAAAACAGAGCTTCAGAAAAAAAGCCTCTGAAGCTCTGTTTGGAGGCTTCTTTTCTGAAGCTGTTTGGAGGCTGCTTTTCTGAAGCTTCTTTTCTGAAGCTTCGTTTCTGATGCTTTTTTCAGCCTCTGAAACCACCGTTTGAGAAGCTGGGTGGGGCTACATTCGGAGTATAAGATGCACCCAGATTTTTACCCTCTTTTTTGGGGGAAAAAAGGTGTGTTTTGTACTCCAAAAAATACAGTATGTGGTCATGGATAAACTGCAACGGTCATAAGTGTGAAAACCAGTCGTAAGTCAATTTTTTTTAGCGCCGCTGTATTTTCAAACGGTCACTAAATGAATGGTTGTCAGTTGAGACTACCTGTATCCCATTTTTAATGCACTTTGGTTATTAACAAAAAAAATATAAATATAAATGAATATTCCAGTAAAAAATGTATTGTTCCCTTCAGCCTCCACTAGATGGCAGACTAGATTATTCTCCAGTGCAAAACATGGAATTATCCCAAGAGGATTGTGGCACTTGCTGGTCAATTGACTCAAATCAAGGTTTAAACTGGATCTTCAAAGAGGTTTAAGAATTTTATTTCTAAGTTTTTTATTTTTTTTTACTTTTTTTAAATAAAAATGTCAAATCAATGCACAATGCAAATCAGTGAACAGTGAACAGTGTGGCAGTGTGAAATTTTATTTCTAACAAAAAGGAAGGTATTAATTCAGGAGGTGCATTAAAAGGGCTTCCAATCATATTGAAATGCTGCCAGTCATCTTAACTTAAAGAGCCTTGGTGGCGCAGCGGACTAAAACTGCTGTTAAAGTAGCACTTAGCTGCCAGCTGCCTGCAGTTACTGCGAGTTCAATTCTCACCAGGCTCAAGGTTGACTCAGCCTTCCATCCTTTCGAGGTAGATAAAACGAGGACCCGGTTTGTGGGGGCAATAAGCTGACTTTGTATAAAATAGAACACCACTTAGGGGTGGCCGAAAGCCCTACTAAGCAGGTATATACAAAAGTATGAAGGTTATTGCTTAAAGCATTGTAAGCCGCCCTGAGTCTCCGGAGAAGGGCGGCATATAAATCGAACTAATAAATAAATAAATAAATAAATAAAGTTTAGGAATTCTGATTTTGGATGAATTCACCGTTAGCATATAATGCTGGCAGGGTTCTTTCCTAAAGTTTCAACCAACAAACTCGGAATAAAAGCTGCACTCATCCCGTGGTTTGAGAAACACTTCAAATAAAGTAAGAACAAAATATTTCCTTCACAAGCAACAGGAAGAATACATTGGCGTTAAGGCCTGGAAATGGATGGGGAAACCGTATCTGCTTACGGAGATGCGCATGAATGGCTTGTGAATATGGCCTCCAAATTTCTCAGAAAATGGTCACCAAACAACAAGTTTCATAAAGACAGAAGAGGGAACTCAACAAATGGCTAACAGGAAGGCCATACCGCTAATATTCCATTCAAATCATTTGGAAATGGAATCAAATATAGTTTTGGACCTTGCCTCCTAATTATTTCCGGTGTGGAGTCTAGAGGTCTGCTGATAAATGCAAAATAAGTCAATATATTAACTGCAATTATGCAAACTATGCCCTGTTCCTTTTTTTTTATGCATTGCAGTTCCCATTCTGACCAAAACACAACAACAACACACACATACCCACAAACATACACACCAAAGGTGGGTTTCAACAGATTCTGACCAGTTCTGGAGAACCGGTAGTGGAAATTTTGAGTAGTTCGGAGAACCCGTAGTAAAAATTCTGACTGGCCCTGCCCCCATCTATTCTCTGCCTCCCGAGTCCCAGCTGATTGGGAAGAAATGGGGATTTTGCAGTAACCTTCCCCTGGAGTGGGGTGGGAATGGAGATTTTACAGTATCCTTCCCCTACCATGCCCATCGAGCCACACCCACCAAGCCACACCCACAAAACCAGTAGGAATTTTTTTTTGAAACCCACCACTGATACACCCCTGCAAACAATCCAAGATCCAGCCATGTTTGCTGTTGAAAATGTCTCCATCCCACTTCGAAACGGAATATAAATTCCTTCCCAGTGGCTCAGAACCTTGTGAGAAAATTCCATTGTCTGATTTTTATTTTTTGGGGGGGGAGGAAGGAGTCGGCCCATTTACCACATTCAACAGTTGAATAAGGTGCATCTGGGTGAAAAGAAGTAAGTATCTTAATCATTAACCTGCAAACAGGTGGGGCAGAAACAAATCTTCCCCATGCAACTGAAAGTTCAGGGAGGATTCATAAAAAACGAGGGATTGTCTTAACTCTGCTTGGAAAAAGCTGGATAAATTGCTCTCCAGATGGCCTACCTCCATAAGACCATTAACTTAAGAGACGCAGTTTACCTAACTGGGCTGAGGATTTGGCCTTTTCTGAGCGATGATTGTAATGCAATGAATAGTTCCTTTAATATAGAATATAGAATAACAGAGTTGGAAGGGACCTTGGAGGTCTTCTAGTCCGACCCCCTACTTAGGCAGGAAACTCTACACCACTTCTGATAAATGGTTATCCAACTTCTTCTTAAAAACTTCAAGTGTTGGACCATTCACAATTTCTGGAGTCAAGTTGTTTCACTGATTAATTGTTCTAACTGTCAGGAAATTTCTCCTCAGTTCTAGGTTGCTTCTCTCGTTGATCATTTTCCATCTACTACTTCTCTTCCTGCCTTCAGGTGGCTTGTGGAGAATAGGTTGACCCCTTCTTCTTTGTGGCAGCCCCGGAGATATTGGAACACTGCTATCATGTCTCCCCTAGTCCTTCTTTTCATTAAACTACAGTAGACATACCCAGTTCCAGCAACCGTTCTTCATATGTTTTAGCCTCCAGTCCCCTCATCGTCTGACTCTGTAAACCGCTTAGAGAGGGCTGTAAAAGCACTATGAAGCGGTATATAAATCTATGAGCTATTGCTATTGCTAACCCATTCCCATATCCTGAATAGTTGAAGATATGATTACATGGGAAAAAGGAACCCGAGATTACTCGCAGCTAATAATAAAAATACTATAAATAAATCAATAGAAGTAATACATTACTGCCAAGTTTCTGCTCCAGTTGGGAGTTTAGCTGATTTATAGCCTTTTTATGTCACCTTTTATCAGGGTGAAACTACAGTACTTCCCCTATGTTACACAAGACTTCACAATCTTTTGTGGGACAAAGGATGACTTTTATCTAACATTCCGTTGGGGAGAAAGGAGTTAGAATATGGACTGTCCAAATGAGTCATATCTCTATATTGCTGGGTTTTTAAATACATGGCCATGGAAGCAACACACATGACAAAAGCAGCTGTAGGAACTTCAACAAGCAGGGTAACTTGCAAAGTTGTGTCTGTGGCCTTCTTCAAGATGACCTCATTTCTGGCTGGAAGTTGGAAAGAGCAGGTGAGGAGGCCTTGATGTCCTTCCTGGTAAAGTCACCAGAACTTTTCACCCTTCAGAGATTCACGAAGTTTTAATGCAGGGGTCTGCAACCTTAAACACTCAAAGAGCCATTTGGACCCATTTCCCACAGAAAAGAAAACACCGGGAGCCACAAAACCCTTCTCGTGCCTTACTATTTCTTGAGCAGCCACAAAACTAGTATATGTAGTTGAATGAAACGTTTTGTTTTCTTCTGAAACTTG